TTAATTCGAGTAGTGACGGGTTGAGATAATATCAAAATTGTTCGTGACTTCTAAGGATTAGTTGGGTCAAATTTTCGCTGCCTAAGCCATGGTGTTTTGGTTGTCTAGACCGGGGGTTCACATCAGTTGGTACCAGAGCTAGTCGACAACCACCAGTTTATATCTTTTTTTTTCGTGTATTTCGAGTCATATATGTTTATCCCCATCTGTTCGTTTGTTTAGAACCAAAAAAAAAAAGAGTCACTGTTCACCGTTACTGTTCACACCAACACTGTTCATCGTACTGTTCACCGTTACTGTTCATCGACACTGTTCATAGTTACTGTTCATCCGAATACAAATCTGTCCAGCCTTGTTGTTTGTGTTATCCAACTTGTTTACTTGGTTTTCAAATCTGGATTTTGGCAAAATTTGTTGGAATTTTGTGAATCTTGAAGAGAACTTATAATAATCTTGAGTTTCTTGCATTCTTGATCACAATCTTGAAATTTCTGAAGTTCCTGACAACTTCCTTGAAAGTTCTTGAACGATCTTGGAGTTCTTGGTAGTTATTATTTGTGGATTTCCTTATTTTGTGTCGTGGTTGATAGTTGTAGTAAAAAAAAACAGAAAACAAAAACGAAAAGAAAAAGAAAGAAAAGAGGAATCGGTTGGCAAAAAAAAAAGGAAAGGAAAGAAAGTGGCAACCGAATTGTTTTGAATAGGGTACCAAATCTGATTTGTGCAATATTTCTTGGAGTAGAATTTGGAAGTTACCAAAAGTTGTTTCAAGAAGATTACCAAAGGTTGTTTCAAGAAGGTTACCAAAAGTTGTTCAAAAGGAAAAGGATTTTCAAAGGGTTTCCAAAAAATTAACTTGTTTCCAAATCCAATTAGGAAACTAAGTAAAGCACTTGGATAACTCTTTGTACTCACTTGGACACTCTCTCTGCTACCTTTTTAGGAAACTTTCCTAAACTCTCTCATCCATTTCTTTTGGAAACTTTCCTAAAGTCTCCCATCTATTTTTAGGAAACTTTCCTATATTCTCTCATCTACTTTAGGAAACTCTCCTATATTCTCTCATCCACTTTAGGAAACTCTCCTATATTCTCTTTCTAGATTTTTGGAACACTCTCCTACACTTTCTCCTATATTTTCTCCTAACTTTTAGGAACACTTCCCTACACTTTCTCCTACATCTCCGTGATTACTCTTGAGGAAGAAGTTGGTGACAATTATTTGGGTTTGAGCAGCATTTCTCAAACTACCTAACCCAACAGGTAAAGGTGTTTGGTAAGTCCATTGGAGCGCTTTGAGTGACATACACGAGGGTGAGTGATACACTAAGGGAGTGAGTGAGGCAGTTTCTACTGACTGTTTGTTGAGCCTTGCAGGTACTCTATAAACATGTCTCAAACTCATGCGACAAGTGACCCTTATGACATGAAACATGTTCTTGAAGCATTAACAGGCGCCATTGATCGCATGGCTCAGAGAATTGATACACTGGAGGATAAGGTGGAGCAATCAACCCTAGGCAAGAATGCCTCCAAGAGACAACCATACGGAGGAGTTAGGTGATTCGAACAATGAGTAGGATATGGCAGATGGAAACCGATTCCGGAATTATAAACGCATCCCTAATCAAGGGGATGATGAACTAAAGGGAATCAAGTTCAAAATTCCTACCTTCCCAGGCAAGTCGGACCCTGAAGCATATTTGGAATGGGAGAGGAAGATTGAGATGCTCTTTGATTGCAACCACTACTCAGAGTCCCAAAAAGTAAAGTTGGCAACCATTGAGTTCACTGAATACGCAGCCGTTTGGTGGGATCAGATTCGCACCAGACAAAGGAGAAATGAAGCACCACTCATTCGCACCTGGGAAGAACTTAAAAGGATCATGAGAAAGCATTTCATACCAGCATATTACCACAGGGATTTGCACCATAAATTGCAAACTCTCACCCAAGGTAGTATGACGGTTGAGGATTACTTCAAGGAGATGGAGATGGCCATGCTGCGGGCTGATGTTCGGGAGGATATAGAATCAACCATGGCACGTTTCTTGAGAGGACTACACGCTGAAATTGCAGATGTTGTGGAGCTCCAACATTACCTTGACATGGATGAATTATTGGACAAAGCTATCAAGGTGGAAAGGAGGCTCAAGAGGAGGGGTATTCCCCACCAAAGTTCCAACGTCCAATCTGGAAATTGGAGAACTCAGCGGTATAAAGGCGAGATTACCCACACGAGTGAACAAAAGTCAGCCAAGGCAAGTGGGATTTCGAATGGAGCATGGGTGCCTAGCTCGTCATCTTCAACACCGACCCAAAGGGCCGAATTTAAGGCTGATCTAGGGGCATCTAAACCTAGAAACCGCGACACTAAGTGCTTTAAGTGTCAAGGTTTTGGTCACATCGCGTCCCAATGCCCAAACCGAAGGACCATGCTCATGCTTCCAAGTGGTGAAGTGCTAACGGATGAGGAGGATGAGTATGAAGACATGCCACCATTGATTGAGGAAGAAGAGATAATTGCCTTTGACCAACCAGTTGGACTAGGCCTTGTTACAAGGTTGGCATTGAGTGCTCAACGCACAAATGAAGAAGAGCAGCGTACCAACATCTTCTATACCCGATGTCTAGTTAACGGGAAAGTGTGTAGCTTGATTATCGATGGAGAAAGTTGTACCAATGTCGCCAGTGCCTTATTTGTCAAGAAGTTACACCTACCTGTCCAAGATCACCCTACACCATATAAGTTTAAATGGTTTAGTGATTGCGGCGAAGTGTGAGTGTCCAAGCAGGTTTCTGTGAAGTTTAACATTGGGAGATATGAGGATGAGTTGGTGTATGACGTGGTTCCTATGCAAGCTGCCCATCTTATTCTTGGAAGACCTTGGCAATTTGATCGCGAGGTTACTTATGAAGGTCATTCCAACAAATACTCGTTCATGCATAAAGGGACAAGGGTCATACTTGTTCCACTCTCTCCTACACAAGTTCGAGAGGAACAAAATGTTTTACAGAGGGAATGGGAGTTGGATCGATTAGAAGGCAAGGAAAAGAAAGGGCGAACATTGATCATGCTCGCTAAATCTGAGGACAACATCGGGCACTGGGAGCTGGATTGTTCCACCTTTGTGATGTTTAACGTGTTTTCATTTGTACAGGTTGTTCGTGGTCAGATATCCTTCATCTTGCAGTGTGCAATACCCGCAACCATAGAGATCTGCGAAGAGAGTGTTGGACAAGTAATTCCAACCAACACTAGTCAAGTTACATTGGCCTTTGATGCAGTTTTTGCACGTCTTGATGCGTACAACTCGCAGCCCAACCAAACCTTGGTTCACCGGGTGTCCGCTCACGATCCACCCATAGGATTGAGACGTCGTTTGTGTGACCATTTTCATGGAAATCTTGCTGTCCGCAACATGTATCTACCACCACCACGAGTTGTCCTTGTTCCACACAAGGATGTCATGATCATTCTTCGCTTAAGAAGGCGACATGCAGGCTGCTTGGTGACTATACACATGTTCTCATTACTTTTGTTTTGTAAGAGAGTCATGATTTGGGGACAAATCGCCTTTAAGAGGAGGGAAATGATGAGAATATAAAGACTAAGGCCCATTCAAGCACATGGAGAATTGGAAGATTCAAGTGAAGACTAGTTGATTGCACGAATACTTGAGTTTAGTAGGATTATTTGATTTTCCTCATTGATTTTGGTTATTTCTCACTTTAGAAAGTCTAGGTAATTAAGCTAGTTTAATTGCGGCCCATTTGTTAGTAAGCGAGGCCCAAAATCATCCTTAAAGTATGTAGGGTAGTTTGGTCAACTTTTGGATTAGGGTTAATGCTTGTAAGGGCTATAAATAGCCCCACTTCCTCTTTGTTTTGGGGATCGGTTTTTTGGCTATTAAATACAATTAGTAAGTTTTCACTTTCTTTTTGGCAAGAGAGTTTTCTTTGAATACTTGAGAATCTTCTCAAGTTATTCACCTGAACTTATCAATCGAGTATCTCCTTGATTGTGGCGTTCTACTACCTCCAATTTGGTTCGTTAATTCAAGTAGTGACGGGTTGAGATAATATCAAAATTGTTCGTGACTTCTAGAGATTAGTTGGGTCAAATTTCCGCTACCTAAGCCATGGTGTTTTGGTTGTCTAGATCGGGGGTTCACATCAGGTAGTCTATGCATTGGTGCCATCCAATGGGTTTTCGAACTAGTACAAGCTCACTTTCATGGTTAGCCTCTGCTGTCTCCCTTGCTTTCTTCGGGACTACTTGTACTGGATTTACCCATGAGCTATCGAAGATGGCAAAAATTATTCCCACCTCCAAAAGTTTAATAATTTCCTTTTCACCACCTCCATCATGATTGGGTTCAACCTTCTCTGTACTTGCCTCACAGGTTTTTCATCCTCTTCAAATCCAATTTGATGCATACTTGAGAGATTGACACCTTTGATGTCAGTGACAGTCCACCCAATCGTCTCCTTGTGATCCCAAAGCACTCAAATCAATTTCTCTTCTTCACTAGGTGATAATTTTGCAGAGATAATCACTGAAAGCATCTCCTTATCACCTAGATACACATACTTCAAATGACTCGGTAAAGGCTTAAACTCCACTTCAGGTGCTTGCACAACAGAAGGTAACAATTTTGAATAAGTGTGATCCCGAAGCACTCAAATCAATTTCTCTTCCTCACTAGGTGATAATTTTGCAGAGATAATCACTGAAAGCATCTCCTTATCACCTAGATACACATACTTCAAATGACTCGGTAAAGGCTTAAACTCCACTTTAGGTGCTTGCACAACAAAGGTAACAATTTTGAATAAGACTCATGCATAAAAATTGGGGCAAATTCATACCTCTTGGTGTGAAGCTCCAAAGTCTGTAGCGCTTCAACCATGTGTTTAAGATTGGCACTTAATTCCAACCCACATGTTGTGTCCAACTCGAATGAATTGGTCAAGGCCATTTGTAGTTCATCTTCAACATTAAGTTGAAAATAACCCCTGCAAATCAGGGTTAATAACACTAGTAGAACACACATAATCAGTTTCAGTGGGATATCTCATGGCTTTAAAAATATTGAAATGGGCGATCTCCCCATCAAATTCCATAGTAAGAGTCCCCTCATTAACATCTATTTTGGTCTGGGCAGTACTTAGAAATGGTCTTCCTAACATTATAGGGGATGGATTCATAGAATTCTCATAATCTATGTCAAGAACATAAAAACTAGTAGAAAATACTAGCTCATTAACTTGAATTAGGACATCTTCAATTAACCCATCAGGATACGTATTAGAACGGTCAGCTAACTGAATGATTATCTCAGTTTGTTTCAACAGTCCTAAATTTAGAGAAGCATATATAGTCTTAGGCATCACATTGATCGAAACTCCTAAATCTAGTTTTGCATTTCCAAGTCTAGTATTTTCTATTTTACAGGGGATAGTATACATGCTTAGATCCCCACATTTGGGTTGAAGTTTCTTTTGTAATACGGTTGATACGTTTTCTCCCACCACTATCTTTTTATCTGCTCGCAACTTCCTTTTGTTGACGCACAAGTGCTTCAAAAACTTAGCATACTTGGGCACTTGTCTGATCGCATCCAATAGAGGAATATTGGTCTCCGCTTTGTGATACACTTCTAAAATTTCCTTTTCTTTCTCCAACTTTTTCGGCTTCTCTAACTTATTAGGAAAAGACAGCGAGTTAGAATTAACTTTAACAGAAGAGTCAAGAATTACCTTACCGTCTACACCGTCTTTGCCTTCTTTCTCAATTTCTTGCTCAATCTGGTTCTCGTTCTTTTCCTTTGGAATAATCAGTTTTGGATTCGGACCTTCAACCTCCTTGCTAGTCCTGAGGGTCATAGCACTCACATTTTTGGGATTTACCTTATGTTGATATGGCAACTTTCCTTTCCCTTTACACTCTAGCCGATTGAGTGCAATCGCAATTTGACTCACTTGATTTTCTAGATTTTGAATGCTCGATTCTGTTTTCTGCTGGAATTGCACGACATTAATAGCTAAAGTCTTAACAATATCCTCAAGAGAAGTTCCTGAGTTGGATGAAGAAGGTTGAGGCGTTGGTGGATATTGGGGCTAGAACCCTTGTTGCCTATAGGGGAAGGAAATCTGCTGTCTATTCCCCCATAGCTGAAATTTGGATGATCTCTCTAACCTAGGTTATAAGTGTTGGAGTATGGATCATAGTGCTTGTGTGGCGCGGGGCACGTTCCTAGCCATATTCAATTGTTCCAAACTTTCCTCTTGCAGCATTAGATTCCCATCCGTTGGATGACTAGTGTCTTTGCAAATTCCACATGCTGCAAATTTCCTACCGTCAACTGACAAACAACAGAGGTTAACTCAGATAATTGCTGCTGAATAAAAGGAGCATTTACCTAATTTACTTTTCGAGTTGGTTTGTTGTCTCTGCCATCCCCTCAATTAAGTCCCATGATTCTCTAAGGGTTTTATTGACTAGTGCTGTGAGGATCCGAAAATTATTTTATATTTTCTCTTATTTAAAAAAAATTAATCAATTTATATTTTCTTTTATTTTACCTTACTTGCCTATTTACTAGCCTTAATTTTATGATGATTTGAAAGGTTAAGTCAAGATTTTTCTCTTTTTCCTTTTTATAATTTGGTACATGTAAAGTTTCATAAAGTATTATGGTAGTTTGACCGACTAGTGAGATGTGTGCAATAAATTTGGAAGACAAGAATGAGTGTGGTGCAAAAGATATTATGTGATTAGAAGTGTCAAGGGTGAATTGGAGAAACACAAGTTAGATTAGTCATTAGAGATAAATCGAGAGACAAAGAGATAGGCATTGGTCATGTCTTGACAAGTGTCGTACATCCATGAAATCTTGATCAAGACTTGGACCAAGAGAAGTCTTGTGCTTATCTTCCAAAATTAGCCAAAAACTCCTCATTTTTTTTCTCCTTGTTGCCCGGACCTAAGAGATAGATAGAAGAGAGAAAAAAACTTTAATTTCATCTTGATTTACTTACTTGATTTGTGAAAAATTCAAAAACCAACCCAATACACTCCGATCAACCTTGAGGTAAGCTTGAAGGGAAGCTTTTGATGGAGTTTTGGAGGAAGAAATCTCTTGAGTTGCTTGTCATCTTGGGATTTTGAGGTAAATTTTCTAGAAAACATCTCTTTTTTACTTATTTCTTGAGATTTATGCAAGATATGTCATGATTGAATCTAAAGGAAGTATGTTTATAGTAATTTCATGGTTTTGCTAGGGTTTGGTCAATTTCCAGCTTTAATGTTCAATTTTCAGCTTTGAGATGAATTTTCAATTTTCATAAGAGATGTTCTAGTTTTTATATGAAATTTTAACCTTTGATATGTAATTTTTAGTCTTGGTATGCAAATTTCTAGTTTTGAGAGGCAAAATTCCAGCTTTGATGTAGTTACTTGAAACTTTATATATATGTGAAGTTATGATGGATTTTCTTGCCAAGAACATATGCTATAAGCCTCATGACATGTTAGTTATAAGATATAGTGCATTTGCCATAAAATTAAGTAAGAAGGTTAAAAATTTTGTTGGAAAAATTTCTGTTATGGCTGGCCGAGAGGGAGAGAGAGAATTTCAGCTTTCTTTTCAGAACTTTTGTGGTGATTTTAATGTAATCTTGTTCAAGACATTTTTTTAAAACCTTAATCTTCACATGTATGTTGAATTTGAGCCATAGGAGTGAGATTTCGTTAAGAAAATTTTCATTTTCTCTAGTTGTTAGAAATCTAAAAATTTTTACAGGAAGTTCTGTGCAGTTTTGGGAAAATTGGCAATAACTTCATATAGAGAAGTTGGAATTAAGTTTCGTTTGTTGCATCTGAAACTAGACTCAGAGAGCTTCAAACGATATAAAATTCAAGGTTTTTTTCAATTTCTATAAATACCAGCAAATTTGCAAAATTTCTTGAAAATCATGACTGTTCTGTTTCTGCACTTGTGACAACAGTGAGTTTTAAACTGAAATTTGACTAATCTATGAGCTGAATTTGATGAAGATGTCTTCTAAATCTATTAGTGCTTTGAGTATATTTTTTAACAACATAAGTTTTATGATTTTTCGACTTACGAAACTCAAGTTATACCTTTTTAAAGAATGTCACCAAAGTTGAAAATTTTATCAAATGGATTGAGTGGGACTTGGGAAAACTTTAGAAAACTTTTCTGGGTTTAAACCTAAATTTCTTTGGTTAAATCCTATATATTTTGATTTGAAAATTTTAGTGATGTTTTAATCTTAGCATGCATGATAAGAATTTGATTTAAACAGGAAACCGTGGCCCTTTTGGTATTCTAATATTAGGGTTAAACCTATAGTTTCTGTGGTGCTAAGTGAAGTTTCGAATCTCATATTTTCTCATCATCTTGGCTTTAAGTAACTAGACTTTTGATGAATTACATGACGACAGAATTTGAACCTATCCAAGAGGATGAATCAGTATTGAAGTGAAACGATTGTGATCAAGTGGTGAGTATTCCTTGCATGTTTGTGCAATAAGTTATTGTATTGAATATTTGTGAATGAGTATTTGAGTGTTAAATGTTTTCCACTGATTGTTAAATAGATTTTAAACAGGCGAGTGTGTACTTTATTGCACTCGACCTAAGTGAATGTAAATTTTCAATGGTTAAATGATTGAATGTTACTTGTACATGAATGTAAGCCATGTATACTTTATCACATTGACTGAATTGGGCCTTGCCTTTCGTTGCTAGCTTATTCGAGCCAGAAGCAGACTCGGTCGGGTAGGTTGGTAATCCTAGGTCACTGAATGAATGAAATGCAATGAATGAAATGACTAACTGAATGAAATGATCACTGTTGGAGTTTTTATTTTCAAATATTTTCAAATGTCGGGGGTATAAGATAAAAGCAGCTCTTAATCTAGGCCATAAACCATCTAATTGGAGCTCATTTCTATCACATATCATCACAATAGTAAAGCTGAAAAATCTCTAGGAAAGCTGGAAATTTCTATTTAGAAGCTAAAAAGTCACAATAAAGCTACCAATCATCACACAAGTCCATAACCAAGCTCAATACCAACATGCCATGGATGAACAACACAAATCAAGGCTTGAAATCATAAGCCCAAAGCTGAAATTTCACTAATCTTCACCAAATCTAGGTTATCATCCATAAAACTCCAAGTTTCATGTCATCTTCTATTTGCAAGAAAAAGAAAGAGAAAGAAAGTTGTTCATCTTATACCTTCAACCTCTTGAAGAAAGTGAAGAAACCAAGGCTTCCTCTCCAAAAACTCTCCGCTACAAGCTTCCTTGCTTCCTTAGTGCTAGTTTGTTTGGTTTAATTTTTGTGATTCTAACTTAAACAAGGCAAAATCAAGATGGAAATGGAAGTTTTTATCCTCTATTTTCCTCTCCTATGGTTCGGCCAAGATGAAAGAAATGGAGGAAAATTGGTCCAAAAGAAAGATAAGAAGAAAGAAAGTTGTCTTGGTCAAACATGCTTGGATCATTGACACTTGGCAAGGCCAAGTTTTTCCTCTTGTTTTTTTTCTTTTCTTTCCTTTTCTTGGTCAATAATTTTGGCTGACTTTAGGGTTAATTTAGGGAGAATTAAATGAAATAAAAACAAGGAAATTAGGGTAAGAAAGTATTGATCAAATGGTGTACTCAACCGGTAACAAACAGCGCACGTCGGTTCAAGCCTACTTTCTTAACTCTCTTGTACTTTTGTTTTAACTTATGATCACTAATTTATTCTTATCACTTTTAATTACACACTTCCTCTTACTTAATACTCACTCTTATCCATCAAATTTAGTACACACACCTCATCAACTAATCACACTACCAAAATGCACAAAAATCCTAGTTTACTCTAACTATAAAAGTAAAAGTAAAATTTTCAGTTCTATTATTTATTACAACTATTGAGTGAGTAGTAGTAAAGGAATTATAAATTAAATTATTCAAAATAAAAGAGAATTATAAGAAAATATAAACAAATTTTCAAGCCCTCACATCAAATAGTTGCTTGGAGTTTGGGATAAATAATGACACTTTGATTGGTTTTGTAGACTTTGACTATGCCAAAGATCTTGACAAGAGAAGATCACTTTCAGATTATGTATTCTGTATTGGTGGTTGTGCAGTTAGTTGGAAAGCAATTTGACAACTTGTTGTAGTTTTATGGATTATGGAGGCAGAATATATGGCTATGATCGAGATAATCAAAGAAGTCTTGTGATTGAAGAATTTGGTTGGCAAGCTCAGTTTGCATCAAGGTGTTACTACTATTTACTGTGATAGTCAAAGTACCTTTCATTTGACTAAAGACCAGATGTATCATGAGAGGACAAAACATATTGATATGAAGTTTCATTTCATTCGAGATACTATTGTTGAAGAAAAAGTTCTTATTTAGAAAATCAGTATGAAGGAGAATCATGCTAACATGTTCATGAAATCTCTTCCAATTTACAAGTTCAAACAGTGCTTGGACTTGGTTGGTATTTGTTGTTGGTGATTTAGACCCATTGGAGCTTATGTGGAGAAGGTAGAGCAGATTTGCTATTATCAATATTAGGGACATGCCAAGTTAGAGATTTGTTAAATATGGATTTGTCCCACATCGCCTTTTTGTATGAGGGAGTTTTTTCTTTAGTTGCCTATACTTATAATGAACATGTAATTAGATTATGTGCACTAAACCAAGAGAGATTTAGTGGACTATTTGAGTCTTTGGTCATTAAGTTTTTTGTTTAGTAAAATATATTTTGCCTTTCTTGTATTTCAAGTATTAGATATTTTGGGTATAGAAACACTTTCTTAAGGTATTTTGTACTCTCTTCTTCATAG